TTGATTTGTGGCGACAGAAAAAGTTTTCAAAAACTACACCTACCCAAGTCAAAGCATCAATAGAAGTAATGCTTTTTCAAAATCCCGCAAGGTTTTGTGGCAGCACCTGATTCAAGTGCAGCCATTTTTGGAGCAGTGTCTAAGACTAATGCTCTGTAAATAGCATCATTGATGAAACCGGAGATTACGCCTCAGTTTCACCAATTGATAGAAAAGAGAGAGAGTTGGCTCATGTGTGCCTAGGGAAAAGAAGCGGCTAAAACGGTTAAATTGTAATAGTCCACTGAGGTCTTGTACTATTTACAAGTTTGAGATAATAGACAATTTATTTGGATTTTATCCATGTGTTGCATCTTGTTATAAATATGTAATGTGCATTGCATTATTTACTACATATATAAGGTGTTTCACAAGATCACTCAATCAGTTACAGCACTTGTTACCACACTATTGATGAGCGTGCTAAATGCCTGACAAATGTTATTAAAACGGCACAAAATACTCAATTGGTAGAAGTGTCACAGTGATATCATAATATTTGCCTTATGTGTTTTATCATAATCAAACTTTTAGTTGATTTACTTAGGTCCAAGAACTTTGTTCCAACATCTTAATAGGCCAATCTGTAGATCGTCATCATCACTAGGAGAAAGCATTTTTTTGGGTCAATTACAGGGTTGAAGTGATCACCTGATATGTACTCCAGCCAATTTTGAGTTTTCATTTTGAATTGCCTCATTTCAAGTTGGCTTATTTCTCTACGTATCATTGCCACGTGGCATTTGCAACCTAAATTGAGGACATGGAATGACTTGTTGCACAATTTAATCTGAATTAGAATTCTCTGTGTTTGGTTTTGATTCATCATTTTCTCGTCAGTATGTTTCGGTTGTCCCAATAACTTGTCCCTTTTGGATGATATTGATTTAATTGCAACCCTTATCCATCGTGTGAAATGATGCGAAACATCAACGAGGACTAGGTGCAAGTCGCGGCTCGTTCCGAGTGCTGTTTGTGCCTCTGTCCAGACCTAAACTTACGCGGAAACGAATGAAGATGACGAAGAGAAAATATTGGGTGAGCCGCCCCTTCACGCCATCATGAAGGGAGCACCAATCAACCCGTCAAGGTCGATATTGATCCGACAGAATATTTTAAATTAGGACCGACAAGATATCCTCGTCCTAAAAGAGAACGAAGGAGGTAAATTCTGATTGTATAACCATTTCAAAAGTTGGTGCAGGGCCGTATGTGGTCATACGTCAACGTGACAAGAACTTCTTACCTAATTTCTGGGACATTGTTAGCGAACTACGCGGAAACGACTAAAGATGATAAAGGAAGCACCAAATCGTGCAGTTCCTAGAAATATCTAGTTGAACGTTCTAGCGAACTGCATCAATATTATCTATATATATAAATGTATAAAAATTTCGTAAATAAGTAATATGAGATACTTTAACACGATTAACAGAACAAATCAACCTACAATAATCTTTTATGGAACACGTACTTAGACTTGGTGTAAATATTTTATTTATTGCAATGCAATTAGCTTAGTCTCGTAAAATGAGTGTAGAAATATTTGTAATAGAGCTATTGAGGATAGCGCAACTTTTACAAGTGGCTTATATAATCTCCTGGGAAACAATGAAATATAAGTTAATGCGAGATTTAGCTTTGCACAAGAAGCTTCAATGGACAAAGAGGCAAACTCAGGGCAGCGACAAGTAGTGATGGTGCAACGGGGGCTGACCATGACTGTGTTCTTGAGCTTCCGAGGACACGACACACCCATGGATTTGTAGATTGCCTCTAAAAGTTCGTGAGTGATACAGGATTATTGGGGTTATCACATATCGATTATAGAAGGGGCTAGTGGTCGGTTTATAAGTGTAAGAAAAAATCTCACAATTTAAGCTAATTTCGTGCAAGAATGATCGTTTTGACAGGGTTTTCTCTATTCTATTCTTCTCTCTTTCATACTGCTTTTACCCTTACTTGTACGGCTACCTATGCCCGCTCCTTTTGACTCGCATCATAGCACAGCAATACATGGGAAATTTCTGTGAAGCACGAGGCAAACAATGCTATCAACTCTAGCCAAAATTGAAGCACTTTCAGCATTTTCTTTTATTCATTGCAAAAGACAAATTTGGAGGGCCGGAATATTTGAACGAAAATTCTCTTCTATAAAATTGAGGGTGCATTCGTATAGTTTTGCTTTTTTTCGCCCCAACGCGCCGAAAATATCTTCGAAAACATGAAAAATGTCCTTTCGGGAGTCGCAATCAGACGCGCCCTCCGTTTTTTTGCAAGTCGTTATTCAGTAGTTGAAGAAGGAATTTTGATCTTATGGCTTGCAAAATTTTTTTTTTTTTGGTCATATTACGACTTGCAATTGAGATGGCAGCATCTTGATCTAAATGTGTAATGTGCATTGCATTATCTACTACACTTTTTGGCATGACCATTCAATCAATAACAGAGTTCATTGCCACATCATTGATTAGTGTCGCTAAATGCCCGACAATTGTTATTAAAACTGCATGAAATACTCAATAATGAACAGCAATGTGATAGTGATACCTAAATTCTCGCCTAAGGTGCATTATCATAATTGAACTTTAGATAGATTTACTTAGGTCCAACAACTTTGTTATGACGTGCAATGGATTTCTGAATTTTCAATTGATTCAATTAAATTGCTAAATTTTTGTTTAGTATGTGTAATTGATTCATCTCTGGAACTCCTGTTTGTTCTCTTGAAATTATTTTAGTATGTTTCATAAGTCATACGCCTGTTGATTATCCTAAAGGAAATTGCTAAAATGGACAACAATCTACAAAAGCTGATAAATTTAAAAAAAATTATACAAATAGATTTCGTATGTGTAATATTTGTTCGAAGTTATAGAGAAATGATACACATTCGCTTTTTATGTGCAATTCATTTTAAACATATAAATTTGGGAAAATTCCAATTAAGGACCCCAAGTGGGGTCAAATTCTCAAATAAGGACCCAAAGTGAACATTGTGTCAAATAAGGGCCTGAAGTGCCCAATCAGTCTCAAATAAGGGCCTGAAGTGCTCAAAAAGTCTCAAATAAGGACACGGTCCGCCAAAATACCCGCCGGCGGCGAGAAAGTTACTGTTCCGGACCGGATCAAGATTTTTTTCATTTTTTATTATTTTTTTCTTTCCTTTTCCTTTTCTTTTTTTTCTTCTCTTCCTCCGCCGGCAATAGCGGCGGGCAGTAGGTCGCCTCGCCTGCCTCAGCGAGGCCGCCTGCCGGCGTCGGGCGAGGGCCGCCCTCGCCCGGGTCGGGCGAGCCGGCGGGGCCGAGCCCTCGCCGTGATCTGGCGAGGGCTCGGCCCCGCCGGTGTCCGGCGAGGCCGGCCTCGCCGGTGCGGGCGAGTCGAGCCTCGCCGGATCCGGCGAGGCCTCGGCCCCGCCGGCGTCGGGCGAGGCCTCGGCCCGCCGGCGTCGGGCGAGGCCTCGGCCCCGCCGGCGTCGGGCGAGGCCTCGGCCCCGCCGGCGTCGAGCGAGCCGGCCTCGCCCGGTTGCGGGGCGAGTCGAGCCTCGCCCGATCCGCGAGGCTCGGCCCCGGCCGGCGCCCGGCGAGGCCGGCCTCGCTGGGCCGGTGCGAGGCGAGGTCGAGCCTCGCCGGATCCGGCGAGGGCTCGGCCCGCCGGCGTCGGGCAAGGTCGCCCTCGCCGGCGTGGGGCGAGGCCGGCCTCGCCCGGCCCAGGGCGGCGGCCCTCGCCCAACGCCGGCGAGGGCGGCCTCGCCTGAGGCCGGCGACCTCCGCCGGCCCCGGCTATGGCCGGCGGAGGAAGAGAAGAAAAAAAAAAGAAAAGGAAAAGGAAAAGAAAAAAAACAGAAAAAAGTAATAAAAAATGAAAAAAATTACTGTTCCGGTGCCGGAACAGTAACTTTCTCGCCGGCCGAAGGGTATTTTGGCCTGCCGGGGACCCAGGTCCTTATTTGAGACTTTTTGGGCACTTCGGGTCCTTATTTGAGACTGATTGTGCACTTCAGGTCCTTATTTGACACAATGTTCACTTTGGGTCCTTATTTGAGAATTTGACCCCACTTGGGGTCCTTAATTGGAATTTTCCCTATAAATTTGCTCGGTCCCTTTAATCATTATCATTCATCATATCAGCTAATGAGAAGTACAGAAGACTTTGCTATTCTTTTCAAAACATAGCAAACAAATTCATTCTCCATTTCACATGATCTCCACTGAATCAGGAAGAAGGCACATTGTTCAGTTGAGCGAGAGGTTTATCCTAATCTGAAACCCTTTTCAAATTAAAGATGATACTGAATATTTTAAAATAATTTGGAATCTCATTAATTTAAAAGTTCATGAGCAACAATGCTCCTTAGGCAAAGTGTAGGACCTGCACGATAAATTGAAAGGACATGCATATTATTACATGTTAGAAACTGCACAAAGGAGAAGTGTCCAGAGATTCTTCTTGTGAGGGTTTGCTTGTCGTAATTCCACCCTGTAGTGATTTAGTCAGTTAGACAATTTTCATTGTTGACACCTATTTTTAAATTGCCCAAAATTAATTATGTAAAAATTCGGAATTAAATTTTTTAGTTCCTAAAACAAAAAAAAACAAATAAAATATATAAATATTTTATCTAATTGCATTGCATATAGACATTAGGCACATTTGCATTAATAAGGCATATTAGAGCAATCTTTTAATTAATTTTTCAAAAATTATTATTAAAAAAATTTAAAAAAATCAGGTCGGGCCGGGCCAAGGCCGGCCCGACCCAACCTTCTTCTCTTCCTCCCTTCCGCGAGGAATTGGGCCCGGCCTGGCCCGGCCCAGCCCAGCCCGGCCCAGCTTTCCCTTTCTCCCACGCGGGAGTCGGCCCGGCTGTCCCCCCTTCTCCTCTTTCTCTCCTCTGCTCTGCCCTGCAACGACCGGCGCCTGGGAAGTGCCGATAGTCCGCTTGAAAATTTGAGGGCCATTAAAGCCACGACTTCTAGGGCGGGGCAGGTGACCGGTGTCGCCTATAAAGGCCGGAGAAGAGAGAGGAGAGGGGAGGTCGGATTTTTGGTTCAAAACAGAGCATAGAGAGAGAACCGAGAGTAAAAAAGGCGAGTTGAGTGATTTGCAGGGGCTGAAGAGGAAGCAGCCCGTATCGCCGGTGCCCGTAGACCAGCCGGCGACTCCCCGAAGCACCCCTGACCGGTAAGTTTCCCCCGGTCCTGAGCTCCCCTGCCTACCCCCTGTTTTTTGTGTGCGCTTTGGCCGGGACTCGTGCCGACCGTTAGGCGCGAATCCGGGCCCATACCGATCCTCCTCCCGATCCATAGTCGCCTTCGGGAGGGAGCCGTGGAGGTCGGAGCAGGTCGGAACCTCGAAACAGGTCGAAATCTCATGTTTTTATCTGTGCACGCCATGTGTTCGACGAAATGCTCCAGTGAAGCTGCCTTGTTTGGGTCCTCGGCCGGCGACTTGTGAAATCGATGTCAAGCCCGAGAAGCAGGATGTCATCGCAGTCATCAAGTCAACAAGCTTCCCCGGCATCTGAAAGAAGAGACCGAGAGAGAAGGCTCCGTGAAGCATCGCTCGACGGGTGTGTCGAGTCGTTGGCTCATTTGCTGCAGGAAGACCGACTCATCCTGGCTCGGACTTCGGTCACTTGCTTCGATGAGACACCATTGCATGTGGCCTGCATGCTCGGTCATGTACACTTTGCCAAGGCTCTTTTGGCTCATAAACAGGACTTGACTATGGCGCTGGACTCGGAGGTAAATTAAACCAAGACCTTGTTGTGTTTGTTTGATATCCTTTTCTCGGATCAAATTGAACCCAGTTATCCTCTCAAACCAGATAATCAACGGAATCACAACTGTTTTGGTTCGGGTTTTACAACTTTTAGGCTTTTAGCCATGTTTAACGTAAACTGTCAACTATACTTCGATTCGATGGCTTATCGCTACAGAGATCAGACAAATAATTTCTTGCTTGTCGAATAAGATTGAGTACCTGTAACGTAGTATTTTGTTTTCCAGTTTTCATGATCTGTGGGAAATCAATCCAAACATAAATCGCAAGGAATTAAGAATATTCAGACAGAAATCGAACCATAGATTTCCTGGTTAATTCAGCCTGAATAATCTTAAGGACACTCAGGGTATATGCGATTCGAAAGTGCGATATTTATAAATCATTTGAACATGAAAATTCTCCATTCAAAGTGTCCTTCAATAAGAATGCTCCATAGCTAAACATTTTACTTTTGCAGGGACGTACGCCTCTTCACTTGGCATCCGCGAATGGGTACGTGGAAATAGCGAGGGAACTGTCACAGTCAAACCCCGACGCATGCCTTGTCCATGATGAAGATGGGAGGACCCCACTTCATCTAGCCGTGATGAAGGGCCGAAGTGACGTCGTGAGAGAGCTGCTCAAGGCAAGACCGGATGCAGCAACACGCAGGCTGAGCCACGGCCAAACCGTTCTCCATCTGGGAGTGAGCCATAATCGTCTGGAGACTCTGAAAATTCTGGTGGAGGTGGTGAGAGATGGTGATCTGGTGAATGCTCAAGATGACGAGGGTAATACAATTTTGCATTTGGCCGCGGCAAACAAGCAAATAGAGGTAACTTTTTTTGGCTTCGACTTGTTCACAAAGTGACGCGGTGTGAAGATAACTTCGGCTCATTTTCATTTTTCTGTGGATTCAAGCTTTGTGCATTCTAACTTCAGTGGATATACCGATTGAAGAGACTCATAAGAAATATCTGTCTCTTATTTCTTTTATAATTGATAAGAAAGCTCATCTTTTTGGCAGACCATGAAATATCTTCTTCAAAGAAGTGAAGTGGAAGTGAACACACCGAATAGAAATGGCTTGGCTGCTCTGGATATAGTGGAAAATTTTCCAATGGATTTCAAAGTCATTGAACTGAGAGAATTGTTAGTACATGCTGGAGCTCTGAGAGCCAAAAGATTCCCTGCATCCACAACTCCCCAAGGAGATGTTGATAACACAAATGAGAACAACTCAACTATTGTAGTTGACCTCGAATCTGCACCACCTCCATCCTCCAATACTAATCCGGTGACGGCGGTGCCGCCACTGTCTTTCTCGGGTGAAATCAGGAAGAAGAAGGAGAAAGACAACCATGAGGAATGGATCAAGAAGAAGCGCAATTCTCTGATGGTAACGCTTTAGATAGATGCCTTTTGGGCAGCATTTGCTGATGATTGTTGGAATTTTCGCAAAGATTTTAACTAAAATTTGTCAAGATGCAAGTGTGAACTATATGATTGATTGAAGTCTTAGATCACATCAGTCACGTTATTACGGTTAACATGTTGGCTCACAACTGATTGAAGCTGTGAGTGGAATTAGAGTCTACACATATACTAGGGTGAAAGCATGCATGGTCATGCATAGAAAGAAAATAAACAATTTTGTATAATAGGTGGAATAAGATAGAGAAAGTATAGGTAAATTAAGAAATCTAATAATGAGAAGAGATACAGTATGTGGATGGTTATTTAAGAATAAATTGTAATTATAGAAAATCTAGAAGAGAAATATTTTTAAATGATCTTAATCTTTTGTCTTCCCCAAATATCATCAATTACTTATTTTACATATATTGTATCTCTAGACAAATACGTAAATCGGTAACTCCGTTTTATATTTCAAAGGTTTCATTATTAAAAATTGTATTTTTTTTCTAAACCACCTTCTTAAAAACATTTCAAATTCTAAAATATCTTTCTATTTATGTGTGTGTATGTAAAATTTTCTCCTTTCTTGTCTAACTAAAAAATAATTTATTTCCAATTAAAATATATAATGAGGTGGTTTTTCTGTCTCGCGTGTGCACATTTGCTAGCGTATATATAGATAGATATATATTAAAGAACAATTATTTCAGAAGAGAGATCCCCACGATTTTCTTGCATATAAATAAACATATGAAAAGCCATCAATTGAATTGTGTATTTGTTGGAATGACTAATTTTGGCTCAATGATCTTCATATTTAAGAGAAGCACTACTTCTTAAACAAATTAAGGGGAGACGTGTTGCTCTTATTTTTTCACGGAAAAAGTTTAAGAGACGTGTTGCTCTTAAAGCACCAATTTTATCGTGAAAACTTATCATCAAGTTTTGGAAATCCGTTGGGATTTGTGGTTCTCCTTGCAGACTCTTCAGCAAAGTGAAAATCTTCAAAGTTTTCTTATTCTCCATACAAGATTATAACATTGCCAAAGTATTTGTTACTTCACAATCTAAACTTTTGTTTCGTATCACGACAGATAGCTGCGACGGTGATTGCGACCGTAGCTTACCAAGCAAGCCTTAGCCCTCCCGGCGGTCTGTGGAACGAAGATGTCCCTTACAAGGACAAAGAGGACCCCGTCGCATACTTGGCAGGAACGTCGATATTGGCCGCAAACTATCCAGAGGGTTACGAAAAGTTCTGGATATACAACACGGTCTCCCTTCTTGCATCTCTTAGCACAATCTTCTTTCTCATAAGTGGCTTGCCCATAACGAAGAGGATCTTGATGTGGATTCTGATGGCCACAATGTGTGTGACCATCACATTCATGGCACTCACTTACCTTGAGTCCTTGAAGGCCATCTTGTATCTGCAGAACCGGGATCCTAAAGAGATGAGACCAATCACAACAGTGGTTGGCAACACCATGTATGTTTGGCTCTGTGTTTTATTGAGTGCTTTTCTATTTCACACCGTTCAGTTCCTCAGGATTGTCCTCCGGATTGTGAAAAATCCGCAAGAGCTCAAAGAAAAGAAACCAGGGTTTCTGAGTTGGTGCAGATCTACGAGTTATTTCAAGAACTAGTGTATTTATATTTTTTGTGGTTTCTGAGTTGGTGGGATAGAGGATTATTACATAATTTCGATGCCTGTGTTCTTTCAAACTTAATCCCTACGTTACAATGTCATTTGAGTACCACTAGCTATGTGAACCATTTAATGAGACTACCAAACTTTCCTGGATTGGGTGGTGCCTCCAGGAGCTTATATGCATAGTAGACTGCATTTATCAATCATATGAACAGTAATGACTTCAAGTTCTAAATTTCTTTCCGATGAGTTTTTCATCGAAGAATTTTGATTATCGGTCAGTGAAGGCTTCAATCACTGTCCTGATTGAAGGATTGATAACTGGAAAATAAACATTTGATAATGGTGTTCTTTCACTCTTTGTTTGATGAGGTAGAAGGAATTTTGCATACCACTAGACTTATGGCCCGTGCTTTGCATGGGAGAAAAACAAAATTTTCGATTGTAATACATACAAATTTAATATCATATGACGTAAAAAAAATATAAAAAAGATATTTAATATCATATATGACGTAGAGAAAGTAAATAGAAATTATTTTGGAGATGATAAATTAGGGGAGTTTGTGTGAAATATGTTGTCCGTACGATCACTTCATGAAGGTAATGAGATGAAATTAATGCATGTTAATGCACAAAGTATGTTTGTCATTAGTCTTTTGGATCAGATAATACTATCATTACATTTACTTTGTAGATTGTATTATTGGTTTTTATTTAATATCTCGATATAAAATTCTAATAGTCTCAAAAGTTGTAACTCCTTCTAGATAACGATAATCAAAGCATGAGGAGCGTGCCTAAAATCTCGAGGATGCATGTTAGTAACTGTAATTAGGGAGATCAATTTATTCAAAGTTTACAACTGTTTGTCTGTGAATAGATACACTGTGTATGTTTTGGAACCTCTCTTTACAATTAATGATAAGAAGGTAGTTCTGTTCAGATTTACCTTTTCACTTTACCTTTTGCAAAATTACCATTCCCGCAGTTTAAATACTAGTATTACAACTTTTAATTCCTTTAATTGCAAGCCATCTACATACGTGTCCAAGATTGACAAAGAACCCCTTTTAACCCAAAAAAAATGTCCAAGTTAATCTTTTGAAAGACTTTTCACTTTTTAGGTGAAGCACAATGGTTTGATTCAATAGGAAGCACGTTCAACACACAACACCTCATTGGATTTTTCTCTGGAGTTTTTCAAGGCAGAAGGAAAGGGAAGCAGTTCATAAAGAATATAACAGGAGCAAAGAAAAATGTGAAACCCATCCAACCTGCACGATTGAACATTCAGACCTAGTTGCTCCATTGAAACCTCTTAAGTGCACGATCATAGTGGCGCTCTCAAAAACTACAACCAGTTCTTCACAAGTTGTTCTCTTTAATAAGAACCGCAGTTGCATATTCCCTGCACCAAACAAGTTGGGACATCGTTAGATATCTTCAATTGGGCATTAAGGGCGTTTTAAAACGCATAGATTCAGCAAAAACCCACCCGGATGCTCTGGCGGCAAATGCGGATGGTCACGAGAATCTTCCAAATTGGGTGTTTCGGCTATCAGCTACATGTGATGAAGGCATTATACAGTGTTGAATTTATGTCTCGAGTTTGAATCGTTTACGGAATGTGACTCGCTTGGATAAATTTCATATTTATCGTGAAGATATATATTTTCTTTTGGAGAAAATATTCAAAATTGCCTATTAAAGAATTCCTTCTGATGGCACGTAAAGCGAAGGACGTCTTCAACAGAGAAGGAAAACTGGTGGGCCTTGGTCAAAGTTATTCTTTGTTGACTCTTGGAATTAAATAATAAAATAAAAGAGAAAGAAGGGGCACACGTATAAAAGGCATGTTATCTTCTGCGAGGGTTTCAAGCTGCACATGCACAGAGCCGCACTAGCCGCGAGCGCCCACGAAGTTCTCAGAGAAGAAGCGCCGCACGAGAACAAAAGAAAAGAACGTACGGTCGTTCTTGGTTTTCGATCATACGAGAGTGTTTCGCTTTGGGCTTCAACACGCGGTGATTTGTGCAGTGAGTTTATTTTGTCCAATTAAGTTGTTTATTCGTAAACACTTTGGGTTTGGGCTTAAATTTAGGTGTGGGAAACACTCGAGCGTTTGAGCGATTTGTAACTCTGATTCTCCGATTATAGTGGATTATTTGTTGCTGGCTCTCCCCGTGGATGTAGGTACCGATATTCGGACCGAACCACGTAAATCTCTGGTGTCCTTTATCGTTTCTCGTTTATTTCTCTGGTATTTTCGCATTGACTTAATTTGCAAGATCCTGTCGTTTCCGCGTTATATTTCCAACAATTGGTATCAGAGCTTGAGGGTTGGATTTTCTGGATTGTGATTTGGGGCTTCTGCTTGTCTGATTATTATTTGGAAATTCTGCTATTGCAATTATGTCTGGAGCGAAAGTTGAGATTGAGAAGTTTAACGGGAGGAACAACTTTGGGTTATGGAGCGTCAAGATGCGTGCGCTATTGACAACCCAAGGTTTGGCCAAAGCATTAGATGGCGAAGATGGATTACCCATTATAATGAAAGCAGCTGATAAAGCAGACCTAATGGAGAGAGCAAAGAGTATAATCCTGCTGAATTTATCGGATGAAGTGTTAATAGAGGTGGTTGAGGAGAAGGATGCCGCAGCATTGTGGGCAAAATTACAGGCACTCTATGTAACGAAGGGTTTGAACAATCGCTTGTACATGTTGAAGAGGATGTTTCAATTTCGATATACTGAAGGTACGTCGATCAGATCCCACCTAGATGAATTTAATAAACTCATGATGGATTTGAAGAACGTCGGTAAGATACTTGATGATGAGGAACAGGGCATGATGTTATTGGCTTCTTTACCTGAATCATGGGAGCACTTTACTGATTCACTACTCCAAGGGCGTACTACGATTACCTCGGAAGAGGTAAAGTCAGCATTGTTCTCTAAAGAGTGGCAGAGGAAGTTGCGAGATGACAGTCTAGCGTAGGATGTAGCGCGAGGACTAGTGATTCGAGGTAGAGAACAACATCGAGGGTCCAGTAGCAACAGAGGTAAAAGCAGATCAAAGTCACGCAATAGAAAGTCTAAAGGACGCGTGAAGTGCTTTAAATGTCACGTGGAGGGGCACATCAGGAGAGATTGTCCGAAGCGAAGAAATAGAGGTGACAAGCAGAATGCCACAAGCAGTGTGGCAAACGTTGCTGAGGAGAGCACTAGTGATGCAGAGGCCGTCTTGTGTGTGACTACTGGTTCGTTAGGAGACGAATGGGTGCTAGATTCGGGGTGTTCTTATCATATGACGCCTCATAAGAACTGGTTTACTACTTACCAGACTGCAGATGGTGGTAGAGTTCTGATGGGGAATAATGCAACCTGCAATGTTGTGGGGATAGGAACAGTTCGGATTCAAATGCACGATGGGGTGGTGCGCACACTGACAGACGTGAGACATGTACCAGAGCTCAAGAAGAACCTTCTTTCTTTGGGGACACTCGATGATATCGGGTGTAAGTACACCGCTGAAGGTGGAGTGCTGAAGGTCTCTCGAGGTGCCATGACAGTGATGAAGGGGAAGAAAGTGAGTTCTCTCTATCATCTACTGGGAGAGACCGTGACAGGAGCTGCTGCAGTTTCATCAGGTGAGTCAGATTCTGACTTGACTCAGTTATGGCATATGCGTTTGGGGCACATGAGTGAGGCAGGTATGATGATGCTGAGTGATAGGGGGTTGTTGAAGGGTCAGAAGACAGGGAAGCTGGACTTATGTGAGCACTGCATCTTTGGGAAGCAGCGTCGGATTAAGTTTACAACAGCTGTTCATTCGACCAAGCGACCGGTTGAGTACATTCATTCAGACGTCTGGGGCCCGTCTCCGGTTCCTTCGAAAGGAGGTGCCCGATATATGCTAACATTTATCGACGACTACTCCAGAAAGGTATGGGTTTACTTTCTGAAGCACAAATCTGATGTGTTTGATCGGTTCAAGAAATTTAAGGCATTGATTGAGAAGCAGTCAGATAAACAGATCAAGTGCCTGAGAACCGATAACGGCATGGAGTTCTGTGGTAAAGATTTTACCGAGTTCTGCGAGAAAGAAGGGATTGTGAGACACCGCACAGTGCCCGGGACACCACAGCAGAATGGCGTTGCAGAACGGAAGAATAGAACTTTACTGGAGCGAGCTCGGAGCATGCTTTCACATGCAGGAATAGGCAAGGAATTTTGGGCCGAAGCAGTGAACATGGCATGTTACTTGGTTAATCGATCTCCATCATCTGCTATAGAGTGGAAGACTCCTGAGGAAGTATGGTCGGGGAAACCATTGATTACTCCGGATTACGAGTATTCGGATGTCCCGCGTATGCTCATGCGAGTGATGGTAAGCTTGAGCCGAGGCGAAGAAGTGCATATTTCCGGGTTATGCACATGGGGTGAAAGGCTACGGCCGTGGTGCACCGATCCCGCATCACCCGGTTTTCTAATCAGCAGAGACGTGATCTTCGACGAGACTGCAATGCTTCAAAGGAGGGGTCTTGAGACAACCAGTAGAGCAGACAGATCGTGGTGTCAGTAGTGAGGTGGAGATTCATGTGGAGACTCTGGAGACCTCGAAGGTAACGAAAGGCGAGATTGCGAGATGAGGCCGCAGCCTGAAGTTGGTGATAATGAATAATCGAGCAGAGCCGCAAAGACACTATAGCCGCGGGTAGACAGAGAAGGCAAATTAAACCACCGGTACGTTATGGTTATACAGATATTGCTTATGCATTGACTGTAGGTGACGAGGTGGAGACAGATGAGCCTTCGTCTTACTCTGAGGCGATGGCGAGTTCTGAGTCGTCGCAATGGATAGGGGCTATGAGTGAAGAGATGGAATCACTTTATCAGAATCAGACATGGGAGTTGGTCAAAGTACCTAAGAGCCAGAAGATTGTCGGTAGCAAGTGGGTCTTTAAACGGAAGGACGGCATTCCCGGTGTCGAGGCAGCGAGATATAAGGCGAGACTTGTGGCGAAGGGGTATACACAGCGGGAGGGCATTGACTACAACGAGGTGTTCTCTCCTGTGGTAAGACATACTTCTATTCGTGTTTTACTTGCCTTAGTTGCTGCACAGGATCTCGAGCTGGAGCAGTTAGATGTGAAAACAGCGTTTCTTCACGGTGAGTTGGAGGAACGGATTTATATGAGGCAGCCAGAGGGATTTGCTATTCCAGGTAAGGAAGATCATGTTTGTTTATTGAAGAAATCTTTATATGGGCTGAAACAGTCTCCTAGGCAGTGGTATAAGCGTTTTGATTCTTTTATGGCTAGTCAGAACTATTCCAAAAGCCAGATGGATAGTTGTGTTTACTATAGGAGATTGGAGGATGGGTCTTTGATATATCTATTACTATATGTTGATGATATGTTGATAGCAGCTAAGAATATGTCTGATATTGTTATGCTGAAGAGGCAATTGAGTGCTGAATTTGAGATGAAAGATTTAGGTGCTGCAAAGAAAATATTGGGTATGGAGATTTTGCGTGACAGGACTATAGGAATTTTACGTCTTTCTCAGAAGAAATATATTGAGAAGATTGTTGCACGATTTAATATACAGTCAGCGAAATCTGTAAGTACACCTTTGGCGATGCACTTTAAACTTTCAGATAAGTTATCACCGCAGACTGAGGAGTAGGAGGAGCATATGTCCCGTGTTCCTTATTCTAGTACAGTGGGTAGTATTATGTATGCTATGGTATGCACTAGGCCTGATATTTCACAAGCAAGTGAGCGTTGTTAGTCGTTATATGAATCGTCCTGGTAAAGCTCATTGGGAAGGCATGTGAAGTGGATCCTCGAGATATTTAAAGGGGACAACAGACGTTGGAATTGTGTACCGAAGGGACAATAATGGCAGTGAGGCCACTGGTTATGTGGATTCGGATCACGCAGGTGACTTGGATGAACGCAGGTCTTTAGCAGGGTACGTATTTACGCTAGCAGGTGGTGCAGTTAGTTGGAAGGCATCCTTACAGGATCACGTTGCCTTGTCTTCGACTGAGGCAGAGTACATGGCACTGACCTTTATAGCGAAAGAGGCGATATGGCTAAAAGGTTTACTCTCGGACTTTGGGTTAGATCAGAATAGTGTTGATTTATACTGTGATAACCAAGGTGCGATATATCTGGCATATAATCCGGTTTATCATGAGCGAACGAAGCATATCGACATCAGGTACCACTTCATCCGAGATGTCTTAGCGAAGGGTGTAGTTGTTGTTAAAAAGATTGCGACATCAGAAAACCCAGCGGATATGATGACCAAGTCTGTTCCTTTGGCGAAGCTCAAGCTCTGCTTGAGCACAATTGGCGTCTGTGGAGAGTGAGCGCCCGTCGGGGCGTTGGGAGAGCTAGCATGGATGATGAGTACTATAACTTGGCTACAAACGTCGAGCCAAGGTGGAGAATTGTTGAATTTATGTCTCGAGTTTGAATCGTTTACGGAATGTGACTCGCTTGGATAAATTTCATATTTATCGTGAAGATATATATTTTCTTTTGGAGAAAATATTCAAAATTGCCTATTAAAGAATTCCTTCTGATGGCACGTAAAGCGAAGGACGTCTTCAACAGAGAAGGAAAACTGGTGGGCCTTGGTCAAAGTTATTCTTTGTTGACTCTTGGAATTAAATAATAAAATAAAAGAGAAAGAAGGGGCACACGTATAAAAGGCATGTTATCTTCTGCGAGGGTTTCAAGCCGCACATGCACAGAGCCGCACTAGCCGCGAGCGCCCACGAAGTTCTCAGAGAAGAAGCGCCGCACGAGAACAAAAGAAAAGAACGTACGGTCGTTCTTGGTTTTCGATCATACGAGAGTGTTTCGCTTTGGGCTTCAACACGCGGTGATTTGTGCAGTGAGTTTATTTTGTCCAATTAAGTTGTTTATTCGTAAACACTTTGGGTTTGGGCTTAAATTTAGGTGTGGGAAACACTCGAGCGTTTGAGCGATTTGTAACTCCGATTCTCCGATTATAGTGGATTATTTGTTGCTGGCTCTCCCCGTGGATGTAGGTACCGATATTCGGACCGAACCACGTAAATCTCTGGTGTCCTTTATCGTTCCTCGTTTATTTCTCTGGTATTTTCGCATTGACTTAATTTGCAAGATCCTGTCGTTTTCGCGTTATATTTCCAACATACAGCAATAATCGGGAAAAGGGAAAAGAAAAACTAGGACGGCGAGATTGTAGGTGTCTTCAGAAAAATTTCCAAGTCTTAACTTCCCGTATTTCCTTATGATCACACATTAAGGGTCTGAGTTGGCTCAGATGACTTTTCAGTTTATCCTCATCTCAAAGAATTCCACAGCCACAAGCTCACACCTGTAGCTACACCAGGCACCCACTCTTGTCAAGAAATGCTTCATGTTAGCCTGCGAACTCACATTCTTTTTGACAGAAAACGCAACGTGCGAAACCAGACGCTCTGAGATGAACGATCCAAAAGATGATCTGTTTAATACCTCGTATATGGTGAACAAGTTTGGACCGGAAGTAGGAAAGCCATCGAAAACAAAAGTGAGAAACAACAGATGCAAATACGTGAATTGGTGTTGGGAAAAGACTGACAAAACTGTCTTGCTTATGGAAAAATAGAGTCCTTTCTTTCATTGCATCGAGTCATTTCCACTAAAACATCACGTTAATGGAAACTGATCGGTCCAGTTATATTTATAGGGACAATGCATAATACATATCCCTCCTTGAATCTCATAGCTTGCATTATCCTTCTTTTTCTCTATCTTATCTTTCCATGAGAAGGCTACAGTACGCTAGATTACTCTTATGGAGCCTAATTTTATTGTGTGATTTTTTCTCGAAGAATTTTCTATCCCCAGCACATGGACCTGGGACCCAGTGATCGGACCTAGGTCCCTGGACCGGACTGAAGGCCCTAGCTTTTGCACATAAAACCACAACAGCCGGGCGCTGTCCGGTTTTCAAACCCCAAAGCTCAAACGTCGGGTTTCGTACCTAGAACCCGGCAACCAAGTTGTTTTAAAGAAAAATGATACGCAATCTTTGAGAGTAATAAAACTAAGATTTTCATTATTTATCATTAAAAGAAGAACTAAGATCTTCATTATGCCCACTTGTAATGTCTAATCTAATCTAATCTTAATGCTAGTAAAGTATTCTGGTGCTCAGGCCTTACGGAGCGGACATGTGGCTCTGGCTCATTAGGTGGTGGCCACCTCACTTCCCTTTGCTGTTACTTTTTTATATTATTTCCTTTTTCATTTGGAAGAAAACCAACCGTCAATCATGTATTGGATGATACATCTTCTTTGCCTTCAAACTCCAAAATTTAGCGAAATCTGCAATAACGGATTGTCGGTGAATTTCGTCGACCTCACCATTAACTTCTATCAAATTTGTTGTCATAAACTTTACTGATGAATTCAAATAATTAACAAAATAATTTACTAGTGTGTTGTCGATTCTCTTCAACATTACCGTCTCGTTCCTTGATGACTTCTTTGACCAAATTTGATTGTTGTTGATCGAGCTTACTACTCGTCGATAATAAAAGCCGGTTATTTTTTTGGTGTCAAGTATCAAGTCTCTCGCAGATGGATGGAATGGTAATTGCCACGTAGCCGGAAAAATGTTCTTCACAAATTTTGATAAATTGATGACATTCTTGGTCATGGTTTTGTTGCTTTTGCTCAGGTTTGTATCATGTTTTGGTTCAATAAGTAAATACCTTGTGCTGAAGCTATTGGATTTTGCAATTGAAATATAATGCGAGAAGAAGAAATAGCCAGAGAAATCGATGATGAACAATAAAGTTACAGTTACACGACACGCGTTTCCCACGATACAAAGCAAAAATGCTCGCAGGCACTTAATATGAGTTTACAGACTCGAAACTCATATAGAAATGCCCGAAAACGACCACTCCCTACCTTCCTTCTCTTCTTCTTCTGTCATTTAAAGTTCTGACCCCTCCTTTATTGACCAAGACTTAAAGTCTTCCACTCTTTTCTGCCCCTCTGTTTTTCTTTTTTCTTTTGCCCTTTTCCCTCTTGGAGGTAAATTTTTATAGATCAACTAGACTGTCGGGAACAGCAAAAGGCAATCTATCCTGGGTAAACGTGAAGCAATTACAAAACCAGAGGTTGAGGAAACAGAGAATCTGCATTTTTTTCATGTCTCCAACGATGAAGGATGAAGGGGCCGACTCAGGAACAGCAAGTAGTAGAAGAAGTGATTGTCCAAAAGGCGCGAACTACGATGTGTTCTTGAGTTTTCGAGGTCCCGACACCCGCGATGGATTTGCGGATTGCCTCTACGAGTTCATGACCCGCGAAGGGATCCGCGTTTTTAGGGACGATGAAGAAATACGGCACGGCGAGGAGATCGGTGGGCAGATTCTGCAAGCGATACAGGACACCAAAATCTACATACCCATCTTCTCCATCGGATATGCTTCGAGTAGATGGTGCCTCCGCGAGCTCGCGGGCATGGTGGAGCGTGCTTATCCAGATTCTTCGGGAGGACCAACAGGGCATGAGATCCTTCCTATATTTTACGATGCAGAACCCTCGGATCTTAAGCTCGAAACGAAACTGTACAGAGACGCTTTAAGGAAGCATGAGAGGGAGCGAGGCCGTCACGTGGTGAACCCTTGGAAGGAGGCTTTAAGAAAGGTTGCTGAAATCAAGGGATGGCAGGTTAAAGGTCAACGGTAATGTTGATCTAGTTTACTTATTTTACCAGTCTATGCTCTGTTTAGGCACAGTATGTTTTTTTTTAATGCGTTAACATTGCAGATATGCCAGTTTAATTCATGCTTCTAATGGATGTTTTATGTCTATAACGAATGTTATCATCTATCATCTAAAGCGATAAATTCACGAATATGGCAGCCATGGCAAAGTCCTTAAAGATATCATTCAAGAGGTTTCTCGTAGGATGACGACAAGAGAGAGAATTGTGCCTGATGATTTGGTTGGAATCACTGACAGGGTAGAAGCCATTAAGAAGCCGTTAGATTTAACTTGTGCTGATATCCGATTCGTTGTAATCTACGGCATGGGTGGCATCGGAAAGACCACTCTTGCCAAGGTAGTCTTCAATCAATTCTCTCCTCTATTTCAAGGTTGGAGCTTTCTTCCTGATATCCGAGAATCGTCATCTCGATGCGATGGCATTGTAAAATTGCAAAAGAAACTACTGTTGGACCTTTTCATCGTCACATTTCCAGAGACCTTTGACGTGGACGAAGGAGTAAATATGATGAAACATAGACTGCCTAACAAAAGAGTCATGATCGTTCTCGATGATGTGGATGATCGAGATCAACTCATGCAACTAGCAGCAAAACCTGATTGGTTTTGTCCGGGAAGTAGGATCATTATCACGGCTAGAGACGCTAGTGTGTTACCTACAGCTAAGGTGGAAGGTCTAGAAGAAAATGTCTTAACGCAGTCTATAAAGATTTATACTTATGGAATGGAGGAGTTACACTCTGATCATGCTCTACAACTTTTTAGCAAGTGAGCCTTTAGCACAGATTCACCGCCGCATGATTATGATGATCTTTCAAGAGAAGTTGTAGCTACAACCGGAGGACTCCCTTTGGCTCTTGAGGTGATAGGCTCTTTTCTCCGTACCAAAAGCAAAGGAGTGTGGAATGATACCTTGAAGAAGTTGAAGGAAGTGCCTCACAAGAAAGTTCGAGAAAAGTTAATAATAAGTTATGATGCACTGGAGTATGAGGGGAAACAAATTTTTCTGGATATTGCATGCTTCTTTGTGATGAAGAGAAAAACTGAGGCATTTTACATGTGGGAATCTTGCAATTTTTTTGCAGAAGCTGAATTTGAGGTTCTTATTGATAAGTCATTGATCAAGATTGTTGACCACGATAGAATATGGATGCATGTTCAATTAAGAGATCTCGGAAGAGAAATTGTTCGTCAGGAGAATATTAGGAATCCTGAAGGTCGGAGCAGATTGTGGTTACATGAAATGGCCTTAGACATAGTACGGGCAAGAAAGGTAAGAACCAATGCAAAATCAGCCTTTTCTTCTACAGGAAAAAATTGAAGAGGATATATATACCGTGTTTCAAAATTCACCATATAACCTGATGCCTGTGCTAACTATTTTCTGGTTTATACTATCAGGGAACAGATAATGTAGTAGCGCTCGCACTAATGAGATCTAGACACAATTTTACCCGTGAAGACTTTGCAGATCTTTCAAAAACAAGGTTCCTTGAATTGGACGGCGGAAACTTCACTGGAGATTTTGAGAATTTATTTCCAGAGTTAAGATGGCTTTGTTGGCACCACTGTCCTTCAAAACTTCAGGTAACCAATTTTGTTCTAAAGAGCCTGGTTATTCTCAAGCTTTCGGGCAATATTATCATAGATGAATGGAGCGGATGGGTCCAAATCATGGTATGATCTCAGTCCGTGCATTTACTCAGTCTCATCATATGATAACATGCCATAATTCCTCGATCCAATGTGTTCTGATGATACTAATTTGATCGTTTTACAGGTGGGAAGTAAACTAAAGGTATTAAATCTCAAAGGTAGTAAATTTCTAACTAGAACACCAGACTTCGTTGGATGCTTGAATTTAGAGAGATTTATCATCAGAGATTGTGAGAACTTGGATGAAATTAATGGCTCAATTGAAAAACTGGAGCAACTGAAGTGCTTGAAGATCAAATGGTGTCCTCGTCTGAGAGATTTGCCCGAGGAAATTGGTTGTCTATCTTCCCTGAGAGAGCTTATCTTAATTCAGTGCCAATATGTTCGTAATTTGCCACCTTGGATTGGTAATCTTAAAGGTCTGTCAAGGCTAGTGATGGAAGATCTAGGACTTGATAGACTTCCTCAGGAAATCTCAGAGCTAGTGGATCTCAAGTACTTGTCTTTAATGAACTGTACAGGGCTGCAGACACTTCCATACACGATAGGGCAGTTGAAATCATTGGTAGAGTTGGATTTGTCCGGCACATTGATTAGAGCTCTACCTCTATCGATCGAAAACCTGGCGAATGTAGTGGTAAAACTTAACAGTAGCGCCATTAGATTCCAACTGGAAAACTGCAGAGAAAGATTCACCAGCTATTGGAGTGCTCAAAGACCTAAATCGTATGCCAAAATTATGAGCAGAGGGGAGCTGGGATCCTCTTTGAGACTCTCCGAATATCCTATTGACTTGCTTATAGAGTGCGGGATGATTGAAACAGTATATGATGTCGATCTCCAATGTATGCCTAGTTACATCAAACAGATTTCTGTCTCGACAATATTTAACGCTCCAAAGACAAGACGTCCTGCGTCAAAGATTCTGGCCATCCTGTATGGCCGGGGGATCATACAAATACCCAGCTCAATCGGAGAAGTTCTAAATCAGATTTACAGCCTTGTTTCCCTGTTGAACAGAATGAGGGCAATGAATTTATGTTTCGTAAGCCGCTTACTAGTTTATTGCATGCCCCCAACAAATCCGGGGTTGAGGGTCAAAATTGCCAGTATTGCAAACAAGCGATTCTGTTCAAGATCATGTGACCATTGTCTGCAGATGTTGAAAAACTTGTTGTCATCGAGTCCACAGGATTTGCAAATTCGCAAGGAGCTTGAACAGCTGCCGGAGCTTTCTTTTGAGCTTTCAATGACTTTGTGTGGTTCGGAGGTTCTAGCTTGTGAACTAGAGATAGTAGCAGGGAGCTTCAAATGTCCTTTCTCGGTGGAAGAACTCGAAACGTTGGTTACGACGTCGTATATCTCTAACGATCTGGGGGCAATACTGGGAGAGAATTCCACATCTGAACTAGAAATCCATGGCTGCTTGGGAATAATATTCACGAGGATGTTCAAAAGGACACAAGCAAGGATACAGCAATCTCTGTTGTTGGAGATGTATCGCAGTGCTATTGTTTCTCTTGTCGTTTTTCTTTTCTGTTTTGCAGTCAAGTTTGATTTGTTAGGCAGTTAGTTTGTTAGCTATTTTCTAGGAAGTGGAACAAGTCAGTTTTTTGCACGTTTGTGTGCAGTTCAAAACAGGTTTCTATTAAGCTTGTTCTTGACAGTTTTTGTTAATTTTTTTTTTGTCTTCTATTACATCTCTCTCTGTAAAATCAGAAAATTGTGATAGCTGATTTTTCATCTTCTTTAACATTGGTATCAGAGCCACCATAGCTTCTCTGGAAAATACAAAAGATTTAGCTGACATAAAGCTTGCAGAATTGTTAAGTGCCAAGACTGATGAGAAGAGAAGAGCCTGTAGAGGGTGCACTGCAAGCTAAAGTGAAGTTCAATGATGGAGGAAAAGGGAAGAAATGGAATCAGTCCAAAGGAAATGCAGGTGACTCCAAGTTTGCAGCGAAAGAAGGAAGTTCTAGTGGGTCTGGCAAATGGAAGAAGAACAAGAAGCCTTGTCAACACTGTGGTGGAACTACTCATCAGTCCTTTAGATGCTGGAGGAGGCCTGATGCTAAGTGCAAACGATGTCACAAGATGGGTCACATGGAAGCAATCTGCAAAGAGAACAATCACCAGCAAGCAGGAGAAGCACAGATAGCAGTGAATGAGACTAAGGAAGAATGCTTGTTTGTGGCTTCCTATTCTGGTTCTCCTCTTGAGAATGATGCATGGCTGGTGGATAGTGGCTGTACCAATCATATGACTGGCAATTTGAAGCTGTTTAGGAGTCTAGACAGGCCAGTCAGGTCCAAAGTCAGAATTGGCAATGGACAGTATATTGGAAAGGGTACAGTGGCTATTGAAGGAAATCAGGAGGTGAAGTTGATTAGTGATGTTCTCTTTGTGCCAAAAATTGACCAGAATCTGTTGAGTGTTGGCCAATTAGTTGAGAGGGGCTATAAGGTGAAGTTTGAAGGAAAGGAATGCCTTATTGATAATGCAGATAGCAAGGAAGTGTTGAGAATGACAATGAAGGACAAGTGCTTCCTGTTCAAGCCATAAGAAATGCAACAAATGGCTTTGAAGTGCAAAGAAGAAAATGCAGAGCTATGGCATAAAAGGCTTGGACATGTTCACTGGAAGAACATGTTGTTTATGCAAAGGAATAGCTTGGCAGATGACTTGCCAAGTTTGGAAGAGGAATTTCCACAGTGCAGAACTTGTCTTCTTGGCAAGCAAGCCAGATTTCCTTTCAAAGGAGGAGGCTGGAGAGCATGTGAGAAGCTGCAATTAGTCCACACAGACTTATGTGGACCTATGTCTGAGTCATCTCTCAATGGTAGCAGGTATTTCATTACTTTCACAGATGACATGACTAGGATGACCTGGATTTACTTTCTACAAGCCAAGTCTAAAGTTGTTGATGTGTTTGTGAAGTTCAAAGCCTTAGTTGAGAATCAGAGTGGGAAGAAAATCCAAATGCTCAGGTCTGATAATGGTTCTGAGTATACTGCTCACAAGTTTAAGTTAAACTGTGAGGAAGCAGGCATTATGCAGCAGTTCACTGCCCCCTATTCACCTCAATAGAATGGGGTCAGTGAGAGGAAAAACAGAAGCATTATGGAAATGGCCAGATGTATGATGCAACAGAAGATGTTACCTAAGAAGTTCTGGGCTGAGGCAGTTAGTACTGCAGTGTTCTTGTTGAACAGATTACCCACAAAGGCCTTAGAGAGCTCAACACCTTTTGAAGCTTGGTATGGTGTTAAACCTTATGTAAAGAACTTAAAAGTTTTTGGGTGTTTGTGTTATACGCATGTTCCTCAGGTCAAGAGGGACAAGCTGGATCAAAGAGCTGAGCCTAGAGTCTTCATTGGATACAGTCTCCAATCAAAGGCTTATAGGATTTTTTAGCCTATGACGGGGAAGGTGACTGTGAGTAGAGATGTTTTTCTAGAGGAAGATGAGTGGAATTAGATGGAAGAAAAGAATGCAGGACAGAAGAAATCTGCAGAACAACAACCTGCAACAACTGTACAGGTTGATGAAGTTGTGAATGGATTGGAAGATACTATGGATGATATGCCAGTAAGAGGCACAAGGTCACTTACTGAAGTTTATGAAAGAAGCAATGTGGCAGTGCTTGAACCAACTAATTTTGTGGAAGCTAAGGAGGATCAGAAGTGGATTGCAGCAATGCAGGAGGAGTTGACAATGATTTAGAAAAACCACACATGGGAGCTTGTTGACAGACCATCTGACAAGAATGTGATTGGGGTTAAGTGGGTGTTCAGAACAAAACTTAATCCTGATGGTTCTGTCAATAAACACAAAGCTAGACTAGTTGTGAAAGGCTATGCTCAGATATGGGGAGTAGATTATTCCGAAACTTTTGCGCCTGTTACAAGACTTGATACAATCAGGCTACTATTAGCTGTTGCAGCAGAGAAGGGGTGGCCTATATTTCAGCTAGATGTCAAGTCTGCATTTCTGAATGGAGAGCTCGAGGAGGAGATTTTGTTGAACAACCTAAAGGCTTCAGTGCCAAAGGGCAAGAAGAGAAGGTATACAAATTGAGGAGAGCTCTACATGGACTGAAGCAGGCTCCAAGAGCTTGGTATTGAAAGATAGACAGATATTTGCAGGATTTTGGCTTTGTAAGAAGCTTGAGTGAGTTCACTCTTTATGTCAAGAAGGTGAATCACGGCGTTGTAATTCTCGTCACTCTATGTGGATGATTTGTTGGTGACAGGGAATGATGTGGAACCGATAGAGAGGGTGAAGCAAGGTCTGTTTGCATTGAAGTTTTGTGGTCAAGAAGATAATGAAGGATCCGTGGTTGAGTTCTGGTGATTGCATTGAAGTTTATATGGACAATCAGGCTACTTTAGCAATATTACAGAATCCAGTTTTCCATGGCAAAACCAAACATTTTAAGATCAAATTCTTCTTTTCTGCGTGAAGTGCAACAAAGTGATGAAGTTAAGTTGGTTTATTATAGATCAAAAGATCAGCTTGCAGACATGTTCACAGAGCCACTTCAGGTTGAAAGATTTGAGCTGTTAAGGGAGAAAATTAGAGTTTGCAGCAGCAACTGATCCAAGGAGGAGTTTGTTGGAGCTGTGTCCCAGTGCTGTTGTTGTTTTTCTTGTCGTTTTAGTCTTTTCTGTTTTGCAGTCAAGTTTGATATGTTAGGCAGTTAGTTTGTTAGCTATTTTCTCGGAAGTGGAACAAGTCAGTTTTTTGCACATTTGTGTGCAATTCAAAACAGGTTTCTATTAAGCTTGTTCTTGACAGTTTTTGTTAATATTTTGTTTTGTCTTCTATTACATCTCTCTCTGTAAAATCAGAAAATTGTGATAGCTGATTTTTTATCTTCTTTAACAATCTCCAGGATAAGAGAGTCTACTATACATCGACAGCAAACCTTTCCGGAGTGATCGCATTGACAATTACTCTGTTACATCGTACGAACTATAAGAAATATAGGTACAATAGTTGCTGCGGATTCTGTATTTCGTGTTGTATCGAGCAAGATTCCATCATGCTTGTGGAGCTTGCTTCACGTCGTTTCAAGGAAAATTTCACGCAAATAATGATTTTTTTTTACTCATGTATACTCATTTACATGTTATTTTTAAGGATTTCTTTTCCCTTCTCATGGGTCATGGAGCCTCTATCATTTGTTACTTTTGTTGCCAGATTAGAAGTCCCAAAGGAATCAGATATTCATGATAATATTCATAACCCTCTTCTCCCACCATAACTGCTGTGTAGTTTATCCTTGAAGAGAAAAACGAATATCTTGAGCATTCATTCTGCTTATAATTTTGTCACAATCCCAAATTCTATATCCAAGACTTGTGGAATGACCCGGCCATCCTTTACGAAAGAATGGACAAAACCTTTAACCAAAATAAGTCTTTTTACGAAAATATATTGACTGAATAAACCCCTTCGGTGAATGGATATTATAATAAGGTCTACTGTATCATGAATTAACCAAAATTAGAAATTCGCAAATCCCAATTCACTAAACTTAATTTATTCAATATTCTGAAGTAAACTCTCATATATACCACCCCAAACCGCTCTCCACGTGCATTCGATTAATGTTCCTCGTGTTCGGCCCTGAACTGATAATAAAAGGAGGTGAGAAAAACCACGTACCAGTATGTGACAATCACCACTTCTATGGGATCAAGCAATGGCTGATGCAGATATTATATCGATTATGCAGAATATCAAACTAACACAAATATTCACATTTATATCATATAATGCATCATCACATATTATATATCACCTCAATATCTCAACATATAGATATCAAATCCGTAGCTCATGTCGGAACACTAAGGTCACACTTCACCATGTGAGAAGGCTCAAAATCTACATCGACTACAGTTAAACCCCAAAAATCACATCAGTTATGATTAAGTCACATAACATAACTAGTCAGTGAACGTATATCATATTCCGATACGTAGGTGGACCACGAGTACCAATCCAATATCCATATATCATATGCAACATACTCACATATCATTTGACTAAATTTACCCTCATACATTTTCAGTGCATATCCAAAACAACCACCAAGTTGAGAATCCATCCAGTGCCTAATCCAGCTTTATGAAATAACATGCCTCAAGATAATTGTATTTTATCCATTCTCAAAACACGGGTCATGATATGATATAGTATTTTTCCTCTCGGAAACCACGCCTGTAAATGTTACAGAGAGCATACCTGGTTAAAGCACTAATATAACCAAACAAGTCAACCGCGTATATCTTTGCCCCCTAAACATCATTTGCGGCATTTAATCAGAGAAACACTCCCTTAATATAGTGGCTAAACTGACTAGGGCCAAGAAAGCACGTTCCGTGCAAAATTACGAAAATGCCCTCTTGCGCCCAATTATTATGGGTCAATTTTCAGTTGGGAGTATCCGAAAATTACCAGTTCGTGATTTTGCTCGAGAAAGTCCGACAGTTCATGTTTCTTGCCTTTGTAAACAAAGGTTTTGTCTGCTGGGAGAGTGTTTTATTTATTGAACATGTCTGTGTGGAAGCCTTTTCATTTTACAGACTTACCATCATTCCTGAGAAAGTGTCACGGTTCATGTTGCTTGCTTTCAAAAATTCCCGTGTCCTCCATACACAGCTAAACAAATGCTCTTTGTACTGAAATCAGCTAAAACTTTTACACCACAAAAAACCCTTTGGCAATGTCAATCTCTCGTATGGTACAAACAAATGCATTCCTATGCGAGTATATCTACAGGGGCAAAATGCATTGCCTTGTCAACCACTACTACCATTCTCTATTTTCTACTTTTCCCTTTTTTCCTCTGCAGATAGACTTTACCCATAAATGGATCGCGTTCCAGTCCATGGTCGCGGTTAGTTTTCTGGTTGAGTTGAGCCTCCGAGGACAGCTCCCTGTGCTAGTCGCATCTTGGAACTCATGTTGCATGGACAGCAACTGAATGGGACCGACACTAGCCAAAGAATTCATGGACATTCCAAACTTCTCATTAAAATCCACCAAATTCTCTGCATTTCCATAGCATTGGAGCCACAAGCATCCACACTGCATCAAGATTGCACTCATTCGTTAGAAATCTGACTTTTAACGGTCTTCACTTGGGATGAAGTATCTTCAAAAGAGAGATCAGAGGTTTTAACAGTCTAGATTTATCTTAGTTTTTGTTTTGGGGGGTACTCACAGTAAACACAAACCGCTAGCCATTCATTCACAACTCTGACCCAAGTGCTTGTCCAACCCACATCAATAGTCCACCTGCAAAAGGGTGCTAGCAAGAGCATGAGATCACTGCCTTTTTAGTCAGGGATTTCTTTCTTGTCAAGGGTACTCGGGCTTTTCACTTGAAACATATGAGCCAGTGAAGAAGCTACAGTAACTCTTCACAAATGAAGAGCATTACTATTACTAAAGTACTAAATAAGCAAATGCAGGAACCATATTAAACAACTTGATAAAAGCTCTACCAAAGCAGATGTTGATGACAATGATGAACGGGTTTTTCCTATAAAAGCCACATCCAATGCTGGAAATGTGGCATTAGGACGGGAAAAAAAAAGATTATCCTAAGAAATAGAAATGCAAATAGTCAATGCCGGTTAAACATCTGCAAGAGGGGAAGCATACTTTTTCATGGGATGATGAGTATTCCAACCAATCAGCAGCATAGCAAAGTACATGGCTCCCGTGGCAAAAACGATATGGAAGAAGCCGTAGCCATATGGAACGTCATCTTCACTCTTCGAGTCGTTTTTTCTAAACTGCATTAAAAAAAAAAAATCAATCTTCTTGAAGTTCGATAAAGTCAGTGAAGAGATGCTTCGCCGATTGAGGAACATACCTGAAAACATTGAGAATCAATGCCTGTTGAAAAGGTTGCAATCACCATTGCGAGTAGGGCAATTACGAAGCTCTGCATCCACACAAGTGAGAATGTGTGAACTTCGTCTGTCCAAAAGAAAATTGTCGTGAAAGAGATTCATGCAGAGCGCTTTCTGAGATCTAGCTGCAGTGGCAATATTCAGCCCAAGGCTTTTTCATTTGTGCTATAAAAATCTCATCTAACCAAGCCTTTGCAGATTTTGAGAACTGGCACTAATTTGGGACCTTACTCAGTTTTCCCACATTGTTCACTCAGAAAAGCATGAGTTGTTAATCAGTGTTCTGTACTATGCTGAGATTCCGGAAATTTTTTGGACTTTCATGATCCGTCACATGTTATGGTTATGGAGTATGGCAAAAAGAACGTTTGGAAAGGTATTTCAGCAATTCAAATTCTAACATGAATTCACCCTGGGTATTGGCTGCAATATATGCATTTTTCAAGTTTCTTAGCTAAAGAAATTTCACAAATATGGAATAAGCTCAGTTTCTACAGAAGTTGAATAATAGGATGACATTGTAAACTGAAATTATCAAGAGCTGACAGCTCTCAAGTTGTATTCTGTTGGAGCATCAGTGTCTGAATTCATTATCAAAATCAAGTATCATCGAAAACAAAGATAAGAATATTACGATGATCGTAAGGAAGTCTGTATGGTTGGAAGCTTCAGCTTTCCTGTTGCAACGGTCCCCTGCTGGTTCGCTGTCAATCAAAACATCAGATAAAACCGAAGTTGTGAATAGTGAAGACATGACACATAATTCATATGTACAAAAGGAGCTTCTCGTCTGCTGAAGATACAGAATGAGTTTTAAACTTATATTTGAGTCTGACATAAGTAAACATGGTAGTGACGTTCATTAATTATCCAACTTTTCTCAGTGATGCCTTTGTATCGACCTTTAATTTTTAGCATGCAAAACAAGATCCTGGCAGCAGATTACTTTATCATAATTAAGTGCTGATATAGTTGACAAGGCCAGCTATTATTGCATGTTACTGAATTCCCGTCTTATATTCTTATTCTTATAATGAGAGATTCGTAATAGAGTTATCTGGAGCCATGCCTTCGGATTGCACACCAGCAAATGAAAACAACGTAGAGTCCCATGAGCCCCGGAGTCAAGAAACCAGCATTCACCTACTTCCACCAGACAGATTAGATTTTACTACTCAAATTGGCAACTAAAAGATTAGGGGAAAAAAGACAGTTAAGACTCACTTTTGGGTGAAGAGAGACGCTGGTCATCAGTTGCAGGAGCACTAGAGTCCAAGTGATGAAAAAGATGTTGAGGAGGCACGATGGCTCTGGTACATACCAAATGTACATTAAAATGATCCCCACAATGCAAACAAGATAAGCAGTCGTCGCGAGTAGCATTACATGAATGTGACTGCAGCAAAAATTTCGACAAGGTCATTGCCAGCAAGAACAAGGAAATCAACTGAATAAGAACGTTCAACAAAATTTTGACAAGGTCATTCAGCTCACATTTTAATTTCAGCAACAAACAACCAAGTCAATAAATTTGGACCATAAGGGAGAAGGGGAAAAGCTGAACAATTCCAGTCCAGGTTGTTAATGGTTTCTTTACAGGGAAAATATTAATGCTTCTTGACTTGAGTAGCAAATGCATTTCAGAATGAAGTAGAGCCGATGATTGGGTGTGTCTAATAGACAGATCATATATAAAAGGTGTCTATCAATTGAATGCAGTTCAGCCAGTCAAGTAAGGTATACTTGGAGAAATATATGCTTACTTTTGTGTTTGTGCTGGTGATAAAAGGCATGCATAATTTATTGATTAGGCGATTTTTCTTTAGTGTAAGTCAGTTATTCTGGAAGGTACCATGTGAAATCCGCTCATGCAATCCATGAGCTTTACTCATCCTCTTGATCCGAGTATTTCCTAAACTTTTTAATGAAATCATGTAATTGATTTTTGGAATTACTGGGAAGTACAGTTATTAAGCTGCAGTTGATTGAAATCATGCAAAGCGCAATCCGGAATCCCAATTGGAGAAAGAGAATCAGGAGCTTTCTAGCTGCATAAATGTTCCAACGGCATTAATGAGAAGGAATTTGTTGAATTCCAAATCCTTCAAGCCCCGAAGATGCTAGTTGGTTCCTTTCAGCACAAATTTGTGCCACAAATTGCGCCAAAAAAATCATATCAACATGCTCCCAAAAGTGTATGCACTAAAGAAACTCCTCCGTGGAAATTTAATGAACTTGGTGAGTTTGCTTTACTGGGTGCAGAGGGAATGAGTGCCTCACCATTTTT